TCATGAAATGATACCCGGGTATTCAAGTTCATTTCGGTTTTGGTCAGAGAGGCAGTGAAGTCAAACGGCGAACCCGCTGAAAATGACTACCGTATTCGGGGTCAGGGGTACTAAACATCCCCCATAGCAAAGTTTCAGCCGAACTGGAATAAATGCATTTATCGTACACAGAGTTTTTTGAACGCGATTTTCGCCAACTTGTTAGGAAAAGTTTCCAGATTGTTAAAAAAATCAACTATATGATACACGATCGATACACAGAGAATGTCCATGATGAAGCTATTACAAGAATGGTCAGTTATGTGCACAAGGCTTGACCAATTGCAAGGCTTGAACAGACACAAGCCGGGCTGGGTGGCTATTTGCTCTGGCAGTTGTTCAGTCAGATGCGCAGTGTCAAGAACAGCGAAGGGAGGTACGTTTGGGGAAGCTGAACTGAAACGGGACGGTAGGTCTTCAGCTGAATTCAAGAGTTCGAAAACAGCGCCAGACATAAAAACAAAAATTAAGAAACAATGGCTAGAACTAGTGGTTCCACCAATGAACCCCGTTGATATAAAAAGTAACTTGTGATCGAAAACAGAACTGGATTCCGCTGTGAGATCATCAGTAAACTCCCATGAGCTTACTATATCAAAATTGTCAGTCATACGACACATCAATCTTCAAGACATGAAAAATCAATGTGTAAAGCTTCTACGGAAAGCCACTGCAACAAGAAAGTTCCTTTGAGCGTTACCCCAACTGACCAGATCCACAGTACTTGGCTGTTTTATCAGCTTCTAGCTTGCATATAAAAAAATTATTAATTTTTCACCTCAACTTCCACATTGAATATCTCCTGCACTCCATTGATTCCGTCTGACACCAGACTGGTCCCCATATCCACTACTCGTCCTGGCACAGCCGCTACGACATCAGCAGCAGCCTTAACCTCATTTATTGCACTAGCTGCTCCGAAAACAACCCAATAAGCCAACGATACTGACATTTCGCCGAATATTTCATAACCTTGCTAGAGGTTACTTCACTCTATCCAAACGCTTTTCAAAACAGAAATGATTGGAAAGTTATCGAAGTAAATGAAAAGGTACCTTTGCTTGATTTGCTGCAGCACTAGCCGCATCGCCGACCACTTTTACACCCGTCTCCAATCCCGTTTGCAAAGAATCTGGAAAGGATTTTGTTGACATGCAAGTCAACTTCAGAAGATTATAAAGTTAGTCATAGCCGCGAACTGCGGAAATTGGGAGCGCGATAGCAGACTAGCAAGATCTGTTGGCTAGCCCATAAGTTCACTATTTGCCGAGTTCACTATTTGCGATGTGCAACTCTCCTTCCCGAGATAAGGCCTATGAGAATAACTTTCCTTTAGTCAAACATACTTCAGTATTGAATCTCGCGTGCTCAGGCATTTAGAAAGAAAAAACAGTTAAGGCAATCCCCCACGAATCAAGCAGCGTTCATAGTCCACGACACTGGCAATACAGTGAGGCAACTGAGGCCATCTCTTCATTGCTGGAGTCGCGCGGCTGAATCATCACTGTTCCAAATTATGAACGGCGCCTCAGATTTGGCAGGCTTTTCGCCACGAAAACAACACATTCCTTCTCAATGCTACAATTTTTGGCTGAACTATTCATTTTTTTTATCCTTAACTACACCGTAAAATGGACCTTTAAGTATCTCCAAGTTGCTGACTAGAACTGCCCAACATCAAAAAAAGGGTTTTCTAGTGATAACTAGTAGACCGCAGTAAGAACACCACTTCTCTCTGACAACCAACTAATATGACCGCGTACATACTTTGCGACTGGGGATACTCTTCAAATCGCGACGAGGAAAGTATTGCTATCAATCTGACGACTGAGCGCCAAAGGAATGGACGGGTATCATTGGGTGCCGGTCACAGGTGATGGCGGAGATTCGGCCTTTTGAGAGGCTCGGCGATCTGGCGATCGGAGTGGACTGGCGATCCGGCGTTTTGAGAGACTTGGCGATCTGGCGATTGGGGTGAACTGGAGATCCGGCGTTCTGGGAGACTCGGTGCTTCGCGGGATTGCTCGCCAAGAGAATGGATGGATATCGATCGCGCCGATAGCGAGATTCGACGAGCTGGTGCCAGATCGCTGAGTTCTCCCGAATTGCGAGTCGCTCAATTTTTCGAAACGTCGGTCGTCGAAGTTCGCGGTTGCAAAGTATGGACATGACCCAAGACCAGGTCTACACCTTCCCAATTCGCCTCATTGCAGAGCATGAGCACACACTAGCAGAGTATTACCTAGCAAATTTACGTGACACCACGCAGCACTGCTACGTCTAATTGATCGGGTCCTGAAAGGAATTAATTCCGCTTGTCCTCCTTTGCCACGCTGGCTGCAACCAACCAACCAATGGCTACCACTATACATGGACGGATATTTGAGTACGCTATCAGATATGCATAAGAAGTGCTGAAGCGACATTGTTTCTGAAACAACCATACCTGCAGCACTTTTTGTGTGAGTCACAACACCATGAGCAACTTGTTTGGTTCCTTGAGCAACGGTACCTTGAATCGATTTGGCGCGAGCACTAAAATTTAACCAGTAAAGAACAGTTGAAATGCACATGAACAACATAAAATCATCCCATTTTCTCGCTCAGGGGTTCATTAAAGGCAGTTGGCACGATGATTGGGTGCTCGGCCTAAAATGCTAGTAGGGCGCTATATAGTGGGGAAATGGCGAAAGAACGGAGTGAAACGGTCAAAATCCTGCGAAAAAAGAGCCTCCGTTCTCACTGTGTTAGTAATCAATTTTGGACGAGTTTCCCGTAGGCATCTTGCCAATAACCGCTACCGAAGGTACGGCTGCATATGTGTACTCATATATCCATGCAGCATCACGGCCGCTTCATTGCTTAGCAAATGAATCAATTAGAGCGTCTGGAACGGTCGTCCATTTGTGGGCGGGCGGGCGTTTGGGACGTAAAGTTGTGGCTTGATAGCGCCCTTATAAGGGCACCTTCCCTGGAAAAGGCATTATGCAGCGCCTGCTCAGGGTCGCGGAATTCCGTCCTGCCAGGCGTGTTGATC